CCCACCCCCAAGATCCCAATTTTCTCCCCGGCAATTTTGTCTACTTCCCTTAGCCAAGAGGATAACTATATGTTTTTTCTTGGGTTCACCTTCTTATTTAGCTTCTTTAGGTTCATCAGGTATACACTCCGTGACCTTTATTAATGGCTAGAAACCAATTATGAGTGAGTAATTATGAGTCCCTCTCTTTTATCTGCCATTGCTGCACTACCCTATGTTAACAAGACAAAGAAGATCATCCTAACAGCTTTACTGTTTTGAGAGTTTCTTGATTTAGTTGTATCTTCTAATGACACAAAAGAAGCTCTTTTGGGAGGACCTTATGTTAATCATCAGCACCACTAATAAGATGACAAGTTGATATCCTTAGCCATCAGGGAAATGCAAATCAAAATGACTCTAAGATACCATCTTATACCTCTTAGAATGGCTAAGCTCAAAAAACATGAATGAGCTTATGTTGAAAAAGATGTGAAATAAGGGGAGCACTCCTCCACTGCTGGTGGGAGTAAAAACTTGTACAGCCACTTTGGAAATTGGTATGCTGGTTATTCAGAAAATTGAGAATCAATCTACCTCAGGACCTAGCTATACCAATCTTGGGCATATACTCAAAGGATGCTCAATCATAACACAAGGACACTTAACTATATTAATAGTAGCACTATTTGTAATAGTCAGAACCTGGAAACAACCTTGATGCCCCTAAACTGACAAATGGATAAAGAAAATGTGGTACACTTACACAGTGGAGTGCTATTCAGTGGTTAAAAAAAAAAGCATCATGAAATTTGCAGGCAAATGAATAGAACTATAAAAAAAAAATCATCCCGAGTGAGGTAACCCAAACCCAGAAAGACAAACATGGTATATACTCACTTATAAGTGGGTGGCTATTAGGTGTAAAGTAAAAGATAACCAGGCTACATTCCACAGCCCCAGAAAACCTAGGTAACAAAGAGGACCCTAAAAGGGACACATGAGTTTCCCTAGGAAAGGGAAATTGATGAGATCTCCTGGGTAAACTGGGAGCAGAGGGATTGGGTTGGGTCAGTTGGGAGCTGGATGGGGGGAAGTAATAAAAGAGATACCTTGATGGGGAGGCATTTTGGGGTTAGGGAGAAACCTAATGCCAGAGAAACTTCCAGGAACCCACAAGAATGACCCCAACTAAGACCCCTAGCAATAGTGGAGAGGTTACCTGAACTGGCTTTCCCCTGTAATAAGACTGGTGACTACTCTAATTGTCATCAGAGAGCAACGATCCAGTAACTGATGGAAGCAGATGCAGAGACCCACAGCCAAGCACTGGGCAGAGCTCTGGGGCCAGTAACTGATGGAAGC